GCGGGGGGTGCAGCCCAGGGCATGGTTGGCTTTCTGGGCTGCCAGCACACGTTGCCGGCTCCTGGCCAGCTTTTCACCCCCCAGCACCCCCAGGTCCCTCTGGGCAGGGCTGCTCTCCATCCCTTCACCCCCCAGCCTGTGAGGATCCCGGGGGTTGCCCCCAGCCGGGTGCAGGACCCTGCCCTTGGCCTTGTTGGACCTCATGAGATTTCCATGGGGCCCACTTCTCCAGCCTGTCCAGGTCCCTCTGGATGGCATCCCCTCCCTCTAGCAAGTCAGCCGCACCGCTCAGCCTGGTGTCATCTGCAAATCTGCTGAGGGTGCGCTCGATCCCGCTGTCTGTGTCACCGATGAAGACATTAAATGGTGTTGGTCCCAGCACGGACCCCTGAGGGACACCAGTCATCACCGATCTCCATCCAGACATCGAGCCATTGACCACTCCCCTCTGGATGTGACCATCCAACCAATTCCTCATCCACCAAACAGTCCACCCATCAAATCCATAGCTCCATATTTAGAGAGAAGGATGTTGTGGGGGACCGTGTCAAAGGCCTTACAGAAGCCCAGCTAGATGGCATCTGTAGCTCTTCCCTTGTCCACTGATGCAGTCACTCCATCATAGTAGCCACTTGGTTGGTCAGGCAGGATTTGCCCTTGGTGAAGCCATGCTGGCTGTCTCGAATCACCTCCCTGTCCTCTGTGTGCCTTAGCACAGCTTCTAGGAGGATCTGTTCCATGATCTTCCGAGGCCTAGAGGTGAGGCTGACTGGTCGGTCATTCCCAGGGTCCTACCCCTGTTCATCTGTTTGTGAATCCGAAGGTTCAGTTGTGTCCCTTTCCTCCTGGGAGTGTCCCAGGGAAAAGATTACTCTCAGTCACTTATCAGAAGCTTCCTCTCTGTATTTTTCTCTCCCTTTGCCCCTACCAGGTTTGGCTTAGGTTGCTCAGAAAGGTTCATCTGGTTCTTCTAAAACTGGGCCAATCATCAAAACACAGTTATGTAGGAAGAACACTGGTTTCTTGGGATTGTCTCTATTGGTTGGTATAGAAGTACTGTTTTCAATATGCCAGGCTTTCAAAAGCTCGGGTGGCATCAGTGGCTGTTAGCTAAGATTTGGGCTGTGTTTTGGCTCATGAGCCATAGGAAGAAAAGCTGACAGTAGCAGCTCAAGGAAGGAAACTCAGTGCGAGAATCATAGAATCACTTTGGTTGGAAAAGACCTTTGAGATCATCGAGTCCAACCTTTAACCTAACCCTGCCATCCCACCACTAAACCCTGTCCCTAAGCACCTCATCTGCCCTTCTTTTAAATACCTCCAGGGATGGGGACTCGACCACCTCCCTGGGCAGCCCATTCCAGAGCCTGACAGCCCTTTTGGTGAAGAAGTTTTTCCTAATGTCTAGCCTAAACCTGCCCTGGTGCA